TACCTGTGAGCAAGATCTTACGAAGCTTTTATCTGATGTGGAGGCAGATAATAAAGACATGAAATACATGTAGATTATTAGTACTAAGTACTGACAGGAAAATAAAACAGTCATGTGATAGAGTGATGGTATGGGCACTGTGTTTTAGGTTCAGTGCTCAGGGACAGGAGATAATTGAGATGATACCTAATTTCTTAATCACAAAGACTATAAATCAGCTGTTTTGGTAATGACTTTAAGAAATCAGCCACAAGTTAAATAGCAATTTCTTCTGTTTTGTTTCTATTTGGAATGTATTCATATTATATAAAGCAATGCTGCCCTCTGGTGGTAGTAAGTTTAATGGCATTCCAGCTTTATTTTTGCAAATCTATTTCAAGGATTTACAGTACTCTATTTAATGGGATTTCTTCCTGAAAAATAGATGTCATCTTTAGATTGCTTTTGAATTTAAAGTTTTTGTAAAATTACAATTCATTTGAAAATCTTATTTAATCTGAAATAAATTTGGGTATTTTTTTTTTGATCAATAATTCTTACACAGTTGAAGGAAAGGATACCTAAGAGGTAGGAAGAACTCAACTCTCAGAACTGAAAGGTGATTAATGGTACTGGAAAAATAAAGCAAGCAAGGTGAATTGCTAATACAAGCATGAAAATCTATGACTTGGACTTATTCATTAAAACATGTATTACATTAAGTTCCCCATTCCAAAAGGCTTAAGACACCTTTTAGTGGAAATTTTTTAAAAGAATGTATTTTTGAATTTCAGTAGCCAGTGACAGTATTTAGAAACAGTGAACATTATTAGTAGACTTTATATTAAACAATGAATAAATTTCCATTGAAATATGACCATATTCTTTAATATCCTAAATATTTAGTTTGTTTCTTCTAACTCTCAATTTTTTAATATTTTGTTTTTTAAAGTATGGACATGTTCTGACTCTTAAGTTTTTAATTGAAAGGTTCTTTTTGGAATAATGATTTTTATTTTATAGAGAGTAATTTGACTTGAATGATTTTTTGTTCTGCTTTTTATTTTTGAAAATTTATATAACCAATTTGAAAAGGTATTAGGTAGCTAACAGTTACAAATAAATTTGACTTATTTTTCTAAGTCCATGAAAAATCTGATGTACCCATATTCTTTTTTTATGGTGGTAGCTCTTTTTAAGGCCCTTGATTGGGTAATTTATTTCACTTCAATAAAAGTAAAAATCATAAAGATTATTGACTGCACATATTTCTAGTTGAATCTTTACCAGGTGATACATACAATTTTGAATTATTCACATTTTATGGTCTAGTCATTATGTGCTGTTTGAGTATACTTAAAAAATGCAATTGTGTGATTGTGCCCCATAGTGATTTCATAATCATGGCATAAATCACAATAAAGGGTCTGAAATTAATTTTTTAAACACTTTTTATAATATACTAGAGGCCTGGTGCACAAAAATTCGTGCACTCGGTGGGGAGGGGGCGTCCCTCAGCCCGGCCTGTGCCCTCTCGCAGTCTGGGACCCCTGGGGAGATAACGACCTGCTGGCTTAGGCCTGCTCCTGGGTGGCAGAGGGCAGGCCCAATCCCTAGGTGCAGCCCCTGGTCAGGCTCAGAGCAGGGCCGATTGGGGAGTTGGGGCGCCGCCCCCTGTTCTGCACAGAGCAGGGCAGATTGGGAGGTTGCGATGCCACCCTCAGTCACGCTCAGGGTAGGGCCGATTGGGGGGTTGGGGCACCGCCCCCTGTCACACTCAAGGCAGGGTCGATGGGGAGGTTGCGGCACCACCCCCTGTCACGCACAGAGCAGGGCCAATCAGGGGGTTGGGGCGCTGCCCCCTGTCACGCACAGAGCAGGGCCCATCGGGGGGGTTGGGGCTCCGTAACCTGTCACGCACAGAGCAGGGCCAATCAAGGGGTTGGGGCGCTGCCCCCTGTCACACACAGAGCAGGGCCCATCAGGGGGGTTGGGGCTCCGTACCCTGTCATGCACAGAGCAGGGCCCATCAGGGGGTTGGGGAGCTCCCCCCTGTCACGCACAGAGCAGGGCAGATCAGGGGGTTGGGGCGCCGCCCTCTGTCACCCACAGAGCAGGGCCGATCAGGGGGTTGGGGTGCCGCCACTGTCACACTCAGGGCAGGGCCGATGGGGAGGTTATGGCTCTACCCCATCACACACAGAGCAGGGCCCGTGGAGGGGGGGGGGGTGTTGGGGCGCCGCCCTCTATCACCCACAGAGCAGGGCCTGTGGCGGGGGAGGGGTTGGGGCGCCGCACCCTGTCACACACAGAGCTGCAGGGCGATCAGGAGGTTGGGGAGCTCCCCCCTATCAGGCACAGAGCTGGGCTGATCAGGGGGTTGGGGCGCCTTCCCCTGTCACAAACAGAGCAGGGCGGATAGGGAGGTTGTGGCCCCGCCCCCTGTCACACACACAGCCGCAGGGTGATCAGGAGGTTTGAGCGCTGCCCCCTGTCACACTGATCCCGGTGCCGGGAGGCCTCTCAGTTCCGCTGATCCCGGTGCTGGGAGGCCTCGCGGCTCTGCTGATCCTGGTGCTGGGAGGCATATTACCCTTTTACTATATAGGATAGAGGCCTGGTGCACGGGTGAGGGCCGGCTGGTTTGCCCTGAAGGGTGTCCTGGATCAGGGTAGGGGTCCCCACTGGGGTGCCTGGCCAGCCTGGGTGAGGGGATGATGGCTGTTTGCAGCTGGTCACACACCCTTCAGGGTGGGGGTCCCCACTGGGGTGCCTGGCCAGTCTGGGTGAGGGGCTGAGGGCTATTTTCAGGCTGGCAGGTGACTGAAGCTCCCAACTGCTCCTTGTTTTCTTTTCTTTTTTTTTTTTTTTTTTATTCTGGGCCAGCTTTAGTTCTGGCTCCAGCTCTGAGGCCTCTGCTGCTGAAAGCAGGTATCTGGTTTGTTTGGGTTCTATAATAGAAACACTGTATCGACTCCAGCTCTGAGATCCCAGAGGGCTGAAAGCAGGTTTCTGGGGTTTTGTTTAGCTTCTATATTTGTAACAATGTTTCTAAAACTGCAAGCTCAGAGGCCCGCAAGGCAGGCGGGGAACGTTGGAGTCCTTCGTCACTGAAGCAAGCGAGTCTCATGTTAGCTTCAAGCTGCCTGGCTGCTGGCCGCCATCTTGGCTGGCAGTTAATTTGCATATCTCGCTGATTAGCCAATGGGAAGGGTAGCGGACGTACGCTAATTACCATGTTTCTCTTTTATTAGATAGGATTTTTTAATTGATTTCAGAGAGGAAGGGAGAGGGGGAGAGAGATAGAAACATCAGTAATGCGAATCATTAATTGGCTGTCTCCTGCACACTGCCTACTGGGGATCAAGCCCACAACTGGGCCATGTGACCTGACCAGGAAGCAAACCATGACCTCCCATGCCCGCTCTTCTGAAATTAATTTTTATGATGTGGGTAGAGATATTGTATAATTTAACTGGATAGGGTAGATTTCTATTTACATTTATTTCACCAAAAAATATGAAAAATATCTAGCAATTATTTCATCTTTCATAATCTTTTGCCAGGTAGAATAGATAAAGCTACATGGTCTCTGTTATGTGTTGCTTGAAAATATTGAGTTAATATCTCTTTAGGAAGGTGGGCTGGTAAGAATTACAGGAATATCTCTGTAAAGTCACCATAATGTAGCTTTGAATTGGCAGCATTTTGCTGATGGAATCACCATGTATATATACCAGTGTCTTACTTTTATTACAAAATGTGATTTACACACACACATATACCTTCAGTGGGGAAACAAAAGGAGCCCTTTTTTATGTAGTGCCTGTCATCTTTATATTCCCATAGATTGGATAGGTTGAATTTCTTTTAAGTGTGGGAGAGGAAAACTAGACCTTTATTTGAAAGAAATGCCAGACTTTTGGGGGATATGAGTGTGTGTGTGTGTGTGTGTGTGTGTGTACACACTTTGCCAGCTGTTAGCTCAATTTTGAAAATGAAATGTATTTTAATAAAAACACTGTTTTTATAATTACTCAAAGATTGTGTATACATTTTTGGAGACACTGTATATATATATATGTATACATATATTCATGTATATATATATTGTTTTATTGATTGCTGACCAGTGATTCTCATTCTCATGGACCTTCAGTTTCTACCAGCCTAGTGTTGCCCTACATGGGTTGCATGTGTTTTATCTTCTCATGACTAGGAAAATTTACCCTCAGAAAAGGTAGTTCTCTCAGGGATCATCTCTAGATTTTTTTGCCTAGGAATAAAAAACAGTACAATATTTCCTTCATAGACTGCAAAACAATCAGTTTTCAAATACAGAACTGAATCACATTGATTGTGCTATTTTAAATGTTAACTATAAGTCTTACCTTAATTAAAATAACACGATACACTTGACCTTTAACCCTTAAAGAATTAAAAAGTGCCAGTGACATTCTTACTCTGTTTTGTATGTTTTCTCTCTTCCAGTTTGTGTGATGGGAAATGTTTGCTGAAGAGTGTATTTTAGATTTTTCTTTTTCTTTTTTGCAATTGAAACGAATTCTTAGTGAAAACAAAATCCCCAATATGAGGATCATTATTGCTTTTCTAACAATGGTTTCAACAAGCATGTATAAATGGAAGAATGGGAGAGAATCCACAAGATGAATTTTATAAAAGCATGCCATAGCCAGAGATTAACGAGTATCCCAAATAATAATACGGTGGGGCAGTTAGGATTCAGATCCCCTTAGCTTTGTACAAAGCCTTTTCAGTTTAGTGACTCCTTTTACTGTTGCTTAGAATTGTCTTGCTCTTTCTAAAAGACACGTTGATAAAACAACAGCAATAATTCTGCTATAGTTCACTAATATCTATGCTTCACTGGCATGTTCACTGTTCATCTTGCACTAGCCTATTGCTTTTTATGACCATTTAAAGTAATATGATTAGAGTCAGCCTTACTTTGTGACATTTTAGCACTTTTATAATTAAAAAGTGTTTCCTTCCATCTGCAGGTGCTGCTGTTTTTTCAAACGAAGAAAAAGGAAAACCATACAGCGCCACAAGTGACTCTGGAGACAGGCAGATCATGGGGAGTTACTTGCGTGTTCATCTTCTGTCTTGTGATGAAAATCATCTCTGTAGTGACCACATATGTTTTCAAGGACTCACTCTTAGAAACAAAAATGTCATACTTTCATACTTCATTGTGTGGTTGTCTTACATTCACATTTTTTTTTCTAATTTAACTATTATGGAAGCTTTAACGTTTTGTCAAAACATGAGTGCTTTGCCCATCAGTGAATGGAATGGACCAATGAGGTAGGACTGGTCAAAATAGTCCTAGAGAACATTTTCAGAAGCTCTCCTCCTGCCACGGAAAGCAGTACAGTATCTTAAATGTCAACCAGTTAATATACCTGATCTGGTCTTTTATAACTCCTGTAAGAGCATAATCAAACAGGAATTTTCTCCCCAGTGGTAACACAACAAAGGAAACAGAGTTGCCCAAATATTTGAAGAAGGTAATTCTTGAGAAGTTCATTTTTGGTGTGACATCTGCATTGATACCAGTGTTACTGATGGTACTGCTATTTGTGAGTCATACTAAAATTCTCTCTGAAATCATGGTACAGTCACTGCCCAGAGGTACTGAGGAAAAAGCTCTATGTGTTTGGCAGATGGTAGTGGTAAAATGAATAACAAGTAATGTGGTAATTATGAGTTCTGCTTTTTTAAAATTTTTAAAATTATTTATTGCTTTGAGAGAGAGAGAGAAAGAAACATTGACTTGTTCCACTTATTTGTGCATTCATTGGTTGATTCTTGTTTGTGCCCTGACCGGGGATCGAACCTGCAACCTTGGCATATCGTGACAATGCTCTAACCAGCTGAGCTACCCGGCCAGGGTTAAGCTCAGCTTTCGTGGCACCACTATGTGAAGTACAGTGTTGCTGAAGTGGCAAAAGCACTTATTTAAAAAAAATGCAACATTTGTATAATGTAACTTTATGCTTCCAGATAATGTGTGTTAGACAGCAAGAGATGAATACTTTGAGAAATGAGAAATGTGGGAGTTTTTTTTTTAAAAAAAATACACTAAGGAGAAGAAATAAATGTGAATCTTATTGCAATGTATAAGATTGAAGTCAAAGGGGATCCCATTGAAACCCACTGCTGAATGATTACATTCTTCCTTGAGCAGAAAACTTTGGATGTGCCACTCGATGGTGTCTGTTTGTTAATTATTTGCTTTTTGATAAAAAAGATCCCCAGCAATAAAAACTGGGTCACTTTATTGCCCTCTGTGCACATTAGTCTCTTGTATTCCACTTTGCTGGCTCTCTGGAGTTTTCCGACGTTTTAATCTAATTTTGATGATTGAAAACTAGTTTGGAGAGGATGGGTCAGGTGCTTTGCCTCCATAGTCTGTTAAAGTGCCTGCATATGAACAAAAGTTACGGTTCTGTAAAAAAGGAAACCCATTCCATTTTTCAAGTATGCTTTGTTTTAAGCCATAAAGGCAGGTATTCTTTTGTCACATCTTTCCAGCCAGGATTTTCAAGAAGAGTTAAAACAAAAAGACTGGCTAGGAAGAATTACGTTGTTCAAATCTCATACTCATTTTTTGTTTATCAAATTGTTACTTCCTCCTTCCTTGCAGCCCCTTCTTCGTCTTTAAGTTCGAGCCTCCAGGCACGCTTATTTATTTTTATTGTCTCAAGGTAACATTTAAAATGTGTAATTAAAGTAAATAAATCTACATTTTTGACTTCATTATTGCATTTACAGGGATTTAATTGTACTTTGTAATTTATTTTTCTCATTAGCCAAAAGTTCAATGCATTGTTTTTGATGAATTAGGCACCCATACGAATACTGCAAATCTGGATGTTGTTTATTGTTGCTCTGAATCCTATGAAGATCTTTTTAAGTTGTTGATTTTAAAGACCTACACTCAGCCTAGGAAATATTTGCTGTATAATTTGGTCATCAGTTTCCATCCTATCTATTTGTATACTGTCATGTTGTCTTAAACTGCAGGAGTCACATATTAAGTTGTTATTGTTGTTTGCTTTGAGCAAGGTAGATGGATGTTTTGGCCATTATAATGTGAAACCACTTCTTTCTTTACAGTATTTGACCAAATATGTGTGTCTCTGATATTTGTAAATACATGCGATATCTGTATTTCTTATCATAAGCCTATTTAGTTTTATTCTTAGTAGGGTTTTTGGACTGTACAGTGTTTATATGATCTGAACTCCTTATACATAAGAAGGTGTGTATATTAATCCAATTATGGACTTAAAATATTTTAAAGTATAAATACCCTTATTTGCTGCAAAGACCAGTGTGTACACATTTGCTTTTTAGCAATATTTTTAATTGCTCCATTTTAATGCCAAGGAATAAATCTTTTGGCAACACAGACTGGTCAGTAATAGGTAATGCAGGTATGTTCAGGTTAAGCCAATAACGTTTTGCATTTTTATGCTTCTTTTCTGTCAACACTAATGAGTCAACATTGCCTGAATGTCTGAATAATGAAACACATCCCTGTTTAAAAGTATGTAACTGAAAACGAAATAAAAAATAAAGGTAGTTTTTTTAAACTTGCTCTTAACCCTTTCCTCTCATCATGGGTAAGATGATGCCACTCACTAATTTGAAATAGAAATTTTTAAAATACAGCTCACTGAGTTTAGTATATAGGAGAAACAGAGCTATAGGAATATGCTTTTGGTTTGGTTTTGCTTTGTTTGAACCCCCTGCAAGGGAGCACATACCAGGAAGTATCTAAGCTTTCTTTAATGAAAGTTTAAACAATTTTTTTACACTTCTATGAACTACTTAATGGAGCCATCAATTAAAGTGAATGCCACTAGTAAACCAAGGAAAATAAACTGAATCATTTTATTCCTTTTTAAGAATGAAGTTCTATTATGTCCACATAAGTGAAATTATTACTCCAACTTTAGGTGAAAAACTTTGCCATCATGGGTGGGGGGCATATATCTAACAGCTTATCAGTGTTCTGTGTGCTTTAAGGAGTTTCACAAAGTGGGTTTAATGGTGCTCTATTTACTGAAAGATGCTACAGGTCAAGACAAGGCAAAGCAACACTGAGCACCAGCGTTCAGGAACAATGAGAAGATCTGGAGATAAAAGGCCCTGTGTAGGAGAATCTGACTTAAGATGGGGGTTAAATCTGAATGATTGCATAGTTGCATTAGTGAGCACCCTTTGGATTGCAAGTGATAAAAACCTGACGTGGCTGATGCAATAGCACAGTTAGCTGAACAGTCAAGTGGTAGAATTGGCTTCAGACATGCTTAATCCCCGTGTAGTCAGGAATCTGTTCATCTCAGTTTTACTGTTTTCATTGTCAGGGGGATTTTTCATGTGTGATGTAAAGTAGCCCCCCCAGCAGCTTCAGACCCCTGTAGCTAAAATATGGGGCAGTTTCTCTCATCAGTTCCAACAAAATCCTAAGACTAACATTTATTCCTTCATTGGTGCACATGCCCATCCCCGAGCCAGTTACTATGGCCAAAGGAAAGCTGTTCTCCCACTTTCAGAGGACACATTGGACTGAGAAATGCTTAGAAGGAGTGTTACCCAAAAGGAAATGAGAACAGTATTATCAGAAAGTGAGTGAATGGATACTGCACAGGCAAAATCAATAGATATCTGCTATCATGAGAAAAAAAAAATATAGCATAGAGCCATACCTAATTGTTTTGAATTAGCAAACCTTATTATTGAGGCTTTTATTAATCTGAATATATTATATAATCCGTACACTTATAATCAGTACATTTGAAAAATATTTTGGAATCAGGTAAAAATGGAGGTCATAAGTACCTTATTTGATGTATTTTTGCTCTTGTTTAGTTTTTAAGGATTTTATGGTAGGATTGGATTAGTAGAGTTAAATTAAAGCTAACTTTTCTAGAGTAGAAATAAATTGAATGATAAAGCTTTGCTGATGTTCAGGATAACTAGTTTTTTCTCTGCCCAGCTCTAATACAGGGCCACATGTTATTTTCTTAGGAAATGTACTTCTAAGACTACATGGATCATAACCAAAGAAAGGACTATATATAGAAAAATTACCAGGTAATATTTCTGGGATATGAAAAAGGTTTTGTTAGAGTGATTATAGGGATGTTTATCATACTGTGATTTTACTTAAATAGAAAAACACTATCACAGTGCTCTAGACTTGGAGTTGGCAAACTTTTTTTGGTAAAGTTTAGACTGGGCCAAAGGCAAAATTGAGGCTTTTATATACTTGTGTAATGAGAAAGAAAACAAATTTCCATTAATTTTGAATGGACAAAATTTAAAATATATATTAATCCTTGAATACAAGTTTTTTGTAATGCAATCTACTGATAAGAATTGAATTATTTTTGAGGGGATAATATTTCACTTAATTGGGTTTCAAAATCAATTGCAAATGTGTCTGTTTTGCTGGTCTGTGATGTAATTTTACATATCCTTGAAAATGTCTTCAGATAGATGGATACTACTAAATACTGTTAGCAATCCTTAGGGTATGATTTTAATTGAGCATATTCATAATTTGGAAGGTAGTTAGAGAATTCTATTAGGTATTTGCCTTTTGGCAAATCATCCCATTGCAGATTAATCACTTCCTATTAAAGGATAGTTACATGCTCCACCATTGTACGATTAGATTTTGAAATAAGGAAATTTCTTTTGCACTTGAATTGAAATCCAAAAATACAACTAAAAATGTAGTTGTGTTTGGAAAATATATCCACTGCAAATTCATGTGGAAAATGGAGATCTTGCTGCTCATTTTAACTTGCCGGCATGGGAAGTAGGTAAAAAAGCATTAGTTGTCACCATATTGACCAGTGCAGAATAAGTTTCACATATAAGTGTTGTTTTGCCTTACAATTTTAAGTTGAATTTATTAAGAAACATCAAATCTGTAGCAGAAGCTAATTTCCAAAGCTATTCTATTCACCTTTTTGTTAATAAAAGGTGTGTGTGATCCCTCATTCAGAAAAATTTTAGTCTTGCTGCCATCAAACTGCTGTGTAGTTGGACAAGTCAGCACATTTAGTTTCTATTTCTGATAAAGCTTAATGGAAGTGATGATGGGTAAGCCTAAAAGAGTAAATGAAATTTACCAGTTCAATAACATGACAGATTTAAGCATTTTACACAAAATAGCTGCTGTTGAATGATATAAAATATAAATATTGACTTTAATCATCTTACATTTTCAGAAGTTTTGTAAATTTTCCCAGTAAACCTTTTCCTGCTCACACACATTTTTACCACCCTCACATCGTAGCAGATTCCACTTCAGTTTGCACTGAATTGGTGTTTTCTCAAGTTCTTTAAAAGCACTCTTCTTTGTAGTGTTGCATGAAGACTATTCACAGAGGTAACTCATGAGTCCCTTCAAACTCAGCATTGACTTCTCTAGTAAAATAACAGGGCAGTATTGGCAATGTTAACCTAAAAATAAAAGGCCTTCTAAAAAGTAAGAAGCAACACATTTTTATTGAGATCAATAAGAATAGCTATTCAGGTATCATTAATTCATGCAGAAGCCCAAATAATGTTCTGATTAGGAGACGAAAGCAAAAATGGGTATTTATGAGAAAGGGAAGGGAAACAGTATATCAACAGAAGGAAGGCATTTCTATTGGTGCAGGCAACCTACTGATAATTCTAAACAATGTTTTTAAATTTAAGTTCAATGGTAATTAGTCCAGTAGTCCTAATAACCTCTTTCTTGTTACCTTTGCAAACAGTTTTTGGGACGCAAGCTTACTTAGTCCAAAAGTTATTTTGCCCTGTTTTAACATTCCAAAGATTTAAGGCAAAGGACTGCGAAGCAGTTCCTCTGGCATGGCAGCTCCTGCTCTACTTTAAAGTGGCTCCGTTTGTTTTGTTGTTTATATCTGCATTTACTGACTCATCAAAAGGCAAGGGAAACTACTTGAAGTCATTTGCCTTGCTATTTAGTTGACTATTGGTGTCTTCAAGTAACTGCCCTTGTTAAAAAAGCTAGTAGGCTTAAACAAATTTATTTTCTCTGGACACACAATTAACGTCAACTCTCCATCAATAAATAGCTGTCTTTGCTTGTCTAACAAACGAGCCAGTTGGCAAGTAGTTGGTTGCACCCTGTTTGTGTGTGAATAAATTCTACTCCAATGAGATATTCCGTGTTAAGTTTTCTAATTGTTCCAGGGTGCTTTCCTGTGTGTTGGAGATATTGCGATGAGTGTTGAGTGTGGCAGTGTCAAAACTGTACTAGCACAGCTAACGTGTGGTTGCCTAGTAAACACGATACTTTGCCATACAATTGTATAACAAAATAACCCATAGGCCACTGTGCCTTATAAGCGCAACACTCAAAAATCACTTTTCTTGTTTTTACAAGGTCAGTATGCATCAGTAATAGAATAATAAAATGTATGGCAATATGTGTGCCACTTGAAATGCTGTTGAATTATGCCTGCATCACTGAGCCTTGTAGTATGTTGCACAGCAGTGTGAAGATGAGTGTACTGCAGATGGTCTCTGTCACAGCTCTTCCACGCTGCCCTTGTAGCATGAAAGCAGCCAGAGATAGTATGTAAATGAATGGGCATGGCCGTGTCCCAATGAAATTTTATTTATGGACACTGGAATTTGAATTTCATATCATTTTTATGTATCATGAAATACTTAAGTTTTTTTAAAAACATTTTATAAATATAAATATCATTCTTAGCTTGTAAGTCAAATAAAAATAGGAAGTGAGCTAGATTTGCTTGCAGACCATAGTTTGCCAAACTTTGTTCTGGACATTGGAAAGATTTGGATGTTTGAGGTAAATTATTATTATTATTTTGTACCGAATGAACACTACTTACCATAGATAACCTTTCTTCCTTTTATAAATGGAAGGGCTGTTTTGAAATAGCATCAAGAATTGTGACAATGGTAAAAGAAAATGTATCACAGCACATAGGGGAGTTAGAAGTAAAGTGAATGAGTCTGGCTCTCACTTAAACTTCGATGCTGAAGCAATGCATGATGATCTTGGAGAGAGCATGAATGGGGGGATCAGACAAACTTATTTGGTTCTTAACTCCTTAACTTGTGAGAACTGAGACAAGTTATTTTGTCAGGATATGGGAGGAAGAAAAGCATTGATTGACATAAGGCTGTTAAACAGGAAATAAGATTTTTGTATTAATAATAAGGTTGAGCTGGGCTAATAAAAAGCAGATGCTAAATTAGACTCTAATATGTTCCTCTTATAATTTAATGAACCTATATTCTGTATTATATCTGTAACTAAAATATATATATATTGTAAACATTTTAAATAACATCAATAGCAGACCTAGTACTATTTAGTGAAATGCTTTAAAATTTCTGTAGATTTTTATAGCCTCTAACCCCTAGAATCTCTACACTAAATATGTTTCTGAAACTAGTGACTCTTCTATTTTATAAGGATAGAAAAGGAAACCTGTAGTCCAGTTAGAAAATGACAGGTCTTTAACTTGTGAGGTTTTCAAGAGCCTTCCTGATGGCTAAACTACAACTAAATTACAGTGATGCCCCAAACTCC